AGTGTGTCTCTTTAAATGCAATGAGTATGGTTGCAAACACATGTGCAATGCACCTCACAATTTTTTCTTCCAACCTTTTTATTTCACTCATTAGCATATGAAATTAATAGCACGTTTTGTACTTTTTATTTTAATTCAGACATGACAGATGAAGTTCTAGAGGAGGATGATCTGGATAAAGATGGCTTTTTATCCTATGTCGAGTACATGCATTCTCAAAAACGTACAGCCAGCCCTACGACCATTTTGGATAAGACCGCAAAGGACAAAAAAGGCTCTAAGAAAAGTACTTAATCTAGCATATCATTTCCACAATAAATAAATAAATATATAAATAAAACAGTCGTGTTCTATTCAATAATAAATAATTCCAAATTGGAAAAAAAATCTGGACTCTTAGTTATGTATTTTAAGAGGTTGGATAGCTCAATCATCTCAACTTTCATTTCAAAACTAATTTTACACCTTAGATGTAGCCTCACATCTACCTCGTGGATTGAAAAATCCATGTCTCTTCTGCACCGCCCCCCTTCCATCCATGTCTCTGTTCCCCTCCCGTTCTTGTCTTTTCTTCAGCCTTTTTCCTTGTCTCTTCAGTGGCCGAATAGAGATGGTTCTGGTGGAATAATTCTCTTCGGCCCCCTTATCTTAAGGATGTCCAAAAGGTAGATCGCCATCTGCCGTACAACTCCCACAATGCTTTGCCAACTTGTTATCTAGCATTTGCACATCCTTACAGAGCTGTACTTAGCACCGAGCAGTGTTTGTGTGTTTAAACGCAAGTATATTTTTGTATGGAGTATGTGTGTGGGAATGTAGGAGCATGTGTGTAGTGTGTTTTTATGTACTGTAGCCATTTCAAAACAGTGGTTTACTTGTATGTAGTGTTTGCCTTTGAATGTAGGGGTTTGTCTGTATGTAGTGTTGACATTTGAATGCTGAGGTTTATTTGTGAGTAGTGTTGGCGTTTGAATGCTGAGATGTACACACACACACACACACACACATACACAGACACACAAAGATACACTGACATACGAGTGCACACAGTTCTAGGTACACAGACGCACACAGACGCACACATACTGATACACAGGCACACGGATACACACAATGTCGCTCATACACAGATGCAGGCTAAGGCTGCTCACTCACACACTGATGGACACCCTGCCTGCTGTTTTACCTGTCATGGCAGGGGAAGGGAGCTCCTCGATGTCTGGCACACTGTTGCAGACTGATTGCCAGGTAGTCACGTGACACCCGACACTCCTATGCATAACGCGAGGTGCTCCCCTGCTAGTTTACTGTGCGTGTGGTCCCCTTATAGAGCCACAAGCTGCCTGGAAGAAAGGCAAAATGTGTACTTCCGGCAGCTTAAAGTGCTTCCTGGGGCCAAACCTATGGTAGGGCCAGTTTAAAGGGACACTCCAGTGTGAGGAAAACAAACCGTTTTCCTGGCATTGCAGGTCCCCTCTCCCTCCCACCCCCAATCCCAGGTTGCTGAAGTGGTTAAAACCCCTTCAGTGACTTACCTGAAGGGGGAGAACTACTACTAACGCTTTTCTTGTTGGGATTTCAACGACGCTGGAGGGCCTCACAGAAAATCTGTGCTATAAACCAGGAAGTGCCCTCTAGTGGCTGTCTAGCAGACAGCCACTACAGGAGGAGTAAACCCTGCAATGTAAATATTGCAGTTCATGAAAACTGCAATATTTACAGTTGCAGTGTTAAGGGTAGCGGGAGTTGGCACCCAGACCACACCAGTGGGCAGAAGTGGTCTGGGTGCCTGGAGTGTCCCTTTAAGACATTGTGCTGCCTGGGTCCAAGGATAAAATGCTGCCTACTTACCCCCCCGCCCCCCACACCAATATTACGCCAACATCCATTATGTTATGCAGTGTGTGTGTGTGTGTAGTGAATGTAATACAAAGAAACAAGTCCTGCGCTCAAACTCCCATTACTCCTGGGCGGCAGCAACAACCATAGTACACATCAGCCCAAATACATATAGAAAAAAAACAAAGAAAAAAGTTACCTGCGCTCTTTCCACATCCCTATGTATTTTTAAACAAATGGAGGTTTTTAGTTACCTCCAATGGCCATGAGAGGGTATGCCCACCTGCCACGTCAAGGCAGACCTGTTAGGTGGGTCCTTGCTCTAACCATTCGCCTTGCTTCATTGAGCTTCTGGCAAAGATATCTCTAATGAGACAGAAACATATAGTAAAAACCAAAGAAAAAAAGGTTACTGGTGCTCTTTCCACATCCCTATGTATTTTTAAACAAATGGAGGTTGCTGCAGCCCAGGAGTAATGTGAGTTTGAGCGCAGGACTTGTTTCTTTGTATTCACTTTTGTACCACACAGCTAGGTTGCAATGCTGCTGCCCATCCCATGTGTTCCCTATTGAGGGTTAATAAGCATGTATGCATGTATATAAAAAAAAAATACCCTTTTCTGTCTAAGAGATATCTTTGCCAAAAGCTCAATGAAGGAAGGTGAATGGTTAGAGCTAGGACCCACCTAACAGGTCTGCTTTGACGTGGCAGGTGGGCATACCCTCTCATGGCCATTGGAGGTAACTAAAAACCTCCATTTGTTATAAAAATACATAGGGATGTGGAAAGAGAGCAGGTAAGTTTTTTTCTTAGTTTTTTACTGTAGTGAATGTAACACCTGTTTGTGCAGTGGATGCAGTGTCTGTGTAGTGGATGTAGTAGTGTCTGTGGGGTGCATGTAGTAATGGATAAGTGGTGGGGGTGAGCAGTTTTAATTAAATTGGGCTTACTCCCCCCTCTCTGCCTCTTACCTGTGGGCTGGAAAGAGGGACAGTGTGTACAAAGGTGACAGTGTAGGGGGACAATGTGTAGGAAGGCGACAGTCATTGTCTCATACACTGTTTAACTAACACACACACTGACACAAACATACTCTCAGAGACACACGCACGCACCGACACACACACACACACCTAATGGCAGATATACACTGACAGTCACACACAGACGTCACTTACATACACAGACTCTCACTGATTTGATATACACACATTCACTGACAGGCACACAAACACTCAGTGACAGACACACATTTACTGACAGAAACAAATTACTAATATTATAATTTGTCCACCTAGTCTCCCTACCTTTGAGAGAACTTGAGTGAATCTGTCTCTGGGGTCCAGTGGGGCTGCTTTGAGTTGGGCGGCTGTAAGCACACAGTTGTGGCGAGGGGGCTGTAATCCTCCTGCTCTGCTCCCTTGCGGCCCATTACCTACTGTTGCAGGGAGCCAGAAAATGATGTCATATTCCGGCTACCGGCATCAGTAGATGGCGCATGAAGGAGCAGAGCTGAAGGATTACAGCTCCCTCACCACCTTTGATGTTCTCACAGCCAAAAATACCCTGGCCTAGTTCCCTAGTAGCAATTTGGCACTTCCATAGGTCTCTGGAACATGCCAATCCAGTCACCATTCACTGGAGAACATAAGTTGACTTCCCTCAGTCATTGCCTGGTACACTGTGCATGAACAGTTGAACTCTATTTACATTGGCAAACCAGGAATGTGACTCTGCATGAGGTGTTTTATTTCCGGTAGCAAAGGGGTTAAACTACACATGTGCAGCATTTGATAGTGAAACGCTGCACTAGACACCATTACTTGGTGTTTCGAGTAACCCATTAAGACTACATTGCTTACGTTTAACTTTGAAATTTTACGGATTTTTACATTACTTTTTGAAATTCATGGAATCACAAAGGCTATTTATACAAAAATAAATAAAAATGTTGCTCTTGCTCCAGGCCCTGGCAACTACGTGCGACAAGGTAAGTATTGCAGTGTCAGTGCTATTAAGGTGATTTGAGAATTTTATACAATTATCAATATATTAAATTTAAAGAGTAAGTTGTCAAGGTAATTTTTACAATGAAGAACTGGTTGCCATGCTAATGATGTATATAATTGGAGTACTACCAGTGGTACTCTAATTGATAAAGCTATATAAAAAATAAAAAGTGTGTAAGGCACTTTAAAATAGTGATGATAAATTCGTCAAACTAGTATAAAAACGTGCTTTCCCCAAACACTCAATAAAACATCAAAGAATTAAAAGATACTAACAGGAAGTGAACCTTGTGACACAATAAACAAAGATACATATAAATACAAACATATGTTCATAAATTTGGGTACCATAGAATACCCAAAAGAAAGCACAAAAAAATACAAACAACATAGTGTCAACCGTTAAAAACATATAAATGGTGAACGAATGGGGTCCGAGTTTGACTCACATGGCCCCGAGCTGTCCTAGGCTCTATATTATGTGCTCTAGGGTGCCACAAATGGCTCAAGGATCCAATATTCCCAAGAACTGTATGAAGGATCTTCAGTGTTTTAAAAGGATCCATTTATTCCATAACATATAACAAACAACAATATAATCAATAGGGGTACTGTCATAGAGTGGTAGTGGGAGTTCAAATAGTAAAGTCCACAGTGGGTAATACTCACCACTTCCCAGTAACCCAAGAAATATAAAGTGCATGTATTTTCTGCTACATTATATTTCTTGTGTTACTGGGAGGTGGTGAGTAACCCACTGTGGGATTTACTATTTTAACTACCACTCTATGACAGTACCCCTATTGATTATATTGTTGTTTGTTATATTTTATTGAATAAATTGATACTTTTAAAACACTGAAGATCCTTCATACAGTTCTTGGGAAAATTGGATCCTGAGCCATTTGTGGCACCCTAGAGCGCATAATATTGAGCCTGGGATGGCTCTGAGCCATGTGAGTGAAACTCCGACCCCATTCCTTCACCATATATATGTTTTTACTGGTTCCCACTAGGTTGTTTGTATTTTTTTGTACTTTATTTTAGGTATCCTATGGTACCCAATGAACATAAGTTTGTATTTATATTTATTCATTGTGTCACAAGGTTCATTTCCTTGCTAGTATATTTTAATTCTTTGTTGATGAATTTGTAAAGTTGTTTATTTTCCTAGTGCCAGAAAAAGGTTTATTTGAATAAGAAAAGAAAAACATTAAAGTAGGCTCATCATTGTCCAAAAGTTTTATGTTTGCATTTTTCTACTGGCCAAACAACCTGCGAAATAAGGTTATCAATTTGTCAATGAAACTGAAAAGGCTTGAATTTATAGCAGACAAAATAAAACAGTGCAATTTTGATATCCTACATTTGTAAATGTAATTATCATTTTTCTATATATTCCTTTTTTTTATTTTATTAATATTGATTAATCTGTTAACCACACATTTAAACCTTGGAGCTGCAAAGGTTCAAAACAACAAAAAGAACAGATAAAAGTAATCATCTGTTCAGATTGTGTAAATACATTTAAATAAAATGTAATAAAGAATAACGGATGTAATAAATTTAAACCGATACACAACACAATTTTGATGTTCAAAAAAAAGTCACATTTATGCATAAATCTCTCAATGTTTCTGTAATATAAATTTCTTCATTAAGGAGAATGGAACTTCAGCGAACAAAACGTTAAAATTGATTCTCCGATGGAATTGGAAACCAAGATCAGACAGAAGGGTTTTCCTTGTAGAGGCTTCATCTCAGAAAATGTCAATTTCTCCAGATTGTTTTTTGCACAACTGTTTTAGCAGGATTCAATCACCAATGATATCCTTGCAGGTCATCTTGTGACATTCAAGCTCTCTTTGGTAGTCAGAAGTCCTTTCTCAAACAGAATAGTGGCCACAGTGATCTGCAGATAGAGTAATAACGAATAATTTTAAAGTTGGCTAATTTACACAGAGTACAGGGCGAACCTTAAATGATGTGTATGCAACAGGTCAAAATTGAATAAACCATACAAATCTAACAATGTATAAATTATGTCTGATATAAGAAAAAACAAATTGTATACAATACTTTCCTTGACACTTTAAAATCTGTATGTTTTATTATTTTATTAGCTTAAGGGGTTACGTCGCCCAATATTTGGCACTTCGTACTCCCCATACTTACCAATACATTTCTGGCAATGCAGATTTAATTCACAGGAGGGTGAACCAAGTGTTTCATCCTTCTGAGGTTTACTCCTGAGCATCCTCAGCGGCAGGCATCCTAAAGGGCTACCTGTCAGCCTTTCCTTTGGTATCCAGTGGCTCACAAAGATCTTCAGTGCTAGAGTATAATGCTCATTTAGAAAAGCTGATATTAAGGCTTATTGCATGACATCTGACCCATGTTCCAGAAGCATATGGTGGTGGATAGGGAGGAGATTTAATTGGTATTGAGAAAGTCTGAGATACGGACGAAACGCACAGACCGAAAGTGCCAATTATTTTACTATTTATGTGCCATTCAGCTGGGTTTTTATTTTTTAAATGTATAAGTGTTCTACCACATAGAATTAATCCATCTATTCTATTGGGTTTTAATATACATCTGCAGAAGGTGGACAAACGTTTTAGACGCGAGGCAGGGAGCATTGCTCACACTTGTTCGGTCAAACTTCAAATCTCCGGTTGATCTGATATGTTCCACGGCTAGCTTGGAGTTTATTATATTTACAGATACGCTTACTGCAGATTGGGAGTTTATTATATTCACGGACACGCTTACTGTAGACTTGAAGATTATTTTACACTTGGACATGTGTGCCTCTTTATGCCACATGGTGGGGAGTTTCCATAATATCGGACCGGTCCAGTTCCCCATTAGCCTGAGGACTTGAATCACTAACATCGTTGTTTACACTTTCTGAGGATATCCAGCTTCTTTTTTTAGCATTAGTATATTTACTAGCAGATATTATTTTACTCCACTGTTGGGAGCTGGCAGCATTGTTTTCTATATTCGCTACATTTGCTTTGACTTTAAGTATCCTTTTTTTAACACTACAGTATCCAACCTGTTTTTTTTCTGCCTCTGTTGGGCTATTTTCGTATGAATGAGTGTAAATGTCTTGCAGATGTTGTTGATGTAGCACTTTTGTTTTTATATATAGCTTTAGTAGCCACTTATGCACATTTATTTAAAATAACAATGAAGCTATATTTTGTATAGCATTGTTGCTGTGGTTGAAAGAACTTTGGCACACCCGAGTGAGAGACTACTACAGATGACGTCCTTGATTCGCTACAGAAGAGTTTTGCCGATTTAAAGTGAAGATGGCAAATCTTGAAGATAGGGAAATGTCCCTGTAATATTAGGCTCAGTGATGTACCCAAGGCCATTACAAATGAGGAGTTTCCTTGTAATGCACAGTGGCTCCTTTCTACTTTTTCATCCTCTGAACAAGCTCAGTAGCTGTTCCTGTTTACCTTAGGCTATTAAAGCTTCAAGTGACATTCTAGCAAAGTTTCAATGGGACAGGGTTACAATTTTGGGGGATACTCTCCATCAGTTGAGGGATCTAAGCTTGCCTTTTACAGGTACCTCACCAGACTAGAGTCCATCAAGTTTAACCTTGATTTACATTCTTCAGTGGGGAACTCATCGCCTGCTTGTGAAAAAAGTGGTAACACATATCCTCTCTCTCAACTATACAAAGGACCTTCCTGTCTCAGGCTCTTGGGATTGCTTTCTGTATTTCTACCAACTCACAGACACATTACTTTTAAATTTAACCTTAGCAGACTAATGTGTATGAATTGGTTATAGCTCTGCAAAGTCTGCCTTTTCACATCCTTGCCGTGAACGATTGAGTTCCAATAAATCATTCATTGACATGTCATGATTCCTTTTATTCCAGAAGTTTGGTCCTTAAGGGGTTAAGCATTGCCAGCTCGGCAAATGTTTGTAGCTTTTTGTTTTAAATTATGTTAAAAGCTAACCGGTGAAAGGCTGGGAAGAGCGCAGGATATGCCGAAATAGGACACTGACATAATGTACTGTATTGTGAGGACTGTGTATTGCCCTTCACCTGTCCTCCGTGATCCAGCACTCGAAGCCTCCAGCTTCACACACACACATAAAAAATATGATCCAGACTTTGGGCATCATATGCTTGCACAGTATTAATCATATTAGGCGACCTGATTGCTATGACAGGGGTAAACAAGGACAAGGACAGAAAGAAAGCATGTATAGTAGCAGACGGAGAGGAACAGAGGTTCTTTGTGAAGCAATTTTTCTGCCACAGTTGTATTCTCGTGATATAATTATACGGATTTCTATATTTTTATTAAGCAATAAAAAGGACAATACTTTTCTGCAATGCACATATTAATTAACATATATTGGCACAAAACCAATAGACGCACAATAGATTATCAATCACCAGCTATAAGAGGGACAAAGTCGCAAGTAATCCATTTATGCAGATTACAGATCTCGCAAATAATCTATTTACAGAGACAAAGCTAGTTTATACAGTAACTGGATTTCAAATTAGCAGATAACCTCGGAATAACAGATTATAGTAATAATGCTAAAGATGTTCTGGAACCATACTAAAACACACACACAAAGGCCCACTAGTTAAAATGTTTCCAGAACCTCTTAATGGCAATATTTGACATTTTACAAAAATGTCAAGTTTTAAGCTACTATCCAGGCCTGAAATTTACTCGCCGATGCCTGGTAGGGGAATGTAAATTTTAAGTCTTGCATGACAAAAAAAAGTGTATATAAATATTATTGCATACCTTTTCATCCAGCGTCCCACTGGGGATGTTTTGCACAGCCACGTACTGTGGATATGAATGGAGAAGGTATTCTACTGCATCCACATGCTGTATTGATGAGAAAAATAAAGAGATTGCCAAGTAATTGTGTGTGTGCACGCACTTTAATTTAGACTTGTAGTTTGATTTTTTTTTGGGGGCATAACCAATTGCACAGATACATTTACCAAATGCATATGGCGGACATGCAGGACCGCATATCATGGCGCAAAGTATAAACGATATAATACCATTAAAATGTATTGTTAGGTAGAATAAGTGCAAGGATTTTTGGGGTGCTTGTGTGTTGGCACTTTCATTGAACCTTTATGAAGGGGGGATGAATGGTCATTGTATGCGAATGCAACAGGAGCTGGGGTAGACATCCAGTCATAATGAATGCGAGTAAGCTTGAGGAGAATAATTGTCATATTGTAGAAAACGTAAATGTGTTGCCAATTCACAGTGCAGGTGAGAGGGAATAATAAAAAAATAATAACAACAACAACTCTCCCCTCGCCCCACACACAAAATCTCACAGTAGTTTGATGGGAAAAGTTACCCAAAGGCACCCTGTATCAAAAGTGCTAAAACGAACAAAAACAAAACAGTTTCAGCAGCCTGGAAGTCTTGTTTTGATTTAGTGGTTGGCTGTACAGTTGTACTGCCAGACAATTTACTTGAAGATCCCTTTATTTTAACCCCTTAATAACAGGCATACACGGTACGACCATTGTCATTATGCACTTTGTGACAAAAGATTTACATTGGTTGTTGCTTGCAAAAGTAAGACATGGAAATAGCCATCTGGAGGTCCCTAAAGGCATGTGATCTCAAGGACAGCCAGCCCCAGCGATTGCATGCCTTTCACTGGCAGCCATCACAGTGACCTCCAGATCTAAATGTACATGTCATGATCACTTTGTGTTTAATGACCTCTCAGTTTAAATCTCAAATGCAGAGACGCTCTGAAAATCCTTGGCCCCTAAATGGTTAAGAGTCATCAGATTGGTAACTTCCAAAGAATATACAGTATTTTTCCCATAAATCGTTTTTATATCTTAATGTTTCCTATGCAGAATACTGTTAACCATCAATATGAAAGAATGTTACCTCGAAGTCTATCTCAATGCTCTTTGGCTCCTCCTGGTGGTATACTCTGGGGTTGTCTGTTGAGTAATACAGCAGACAAGAGTCTCCTTCACTGCACAATCTGTAAATTTGTAAAAAAACACACAACAAATCAGATATTGTCCAAAACACAATAACACCATAAGTCGCCACTGGCAAGTGAAAATGGAGCCCTGGCAAGTAAAAGTTTGCACCTTAGTGAGTCTGCCATGCAACTTTCAGGTTGTGAGTAACTGTTAAGACCTGTGCAGTAACATTGGATTTGAGATTTTAAGCCCTGCCCCAAGGTAGACATCTTATGGTCTTCCTCCTTTCGTCACTTTACCACACCCCCATTATTGCACAAATACACATTTTACACACACTGTGCATACATATACTTGTCACAAAGGTCACACAGACTACACACACAGAGACACAGCTGAAATATAAGCCTGACCTCGCGATGCCACCACGGAGTATCCTAATTCTGGTGTCTTTGCCAATCTGCAAAGCATTATCTTGGACACGTCCATCTTCCCATGTCACTGGAGCTCCATACACACTGTGAGACTTTTCCGCTTCAAAGAAAAACATACAGTAATATTAACCATAACATGAGATGGAAAATAGAGTGTCATTGTATACACTTCCACAGCCCAGTTGGTTCATAGCATCACAGCTTTTACAGTATTTACAAACATGCTAAAAGAACATTTATGGCAATATTGGCCAAGCTGGAAAACTCGAGATATCTACGCCATAATGCTCTGTGCCAGCTAATATACACTTTAAAGTAAAAAAAAAGTCTGGTATTTTCAATCCTTCCAGCTACCATCTGCAGCCATACTAATTCACAGTTGTTTTGCATTGCAAATTCTGTCTGTCCATTGAATGGAAATGCTTTGTTTTATTTATTTTTTTCTTTATACATGTTTGTTAGTATTTAAGCTGTTTAGCTTCACATCAGGTATTTCGGTATTTGAAAGAGATACACAGATTTGACCAGAGCATACCTGGTGTCAGCACAGGAGGGAGGCAATCATGCAGGAATTCTTTGGCTTTCTGGTCTACAGCAGCATCCACTGGTGCGTAATCCGCCAATTTCGTCATCAATGTGTGAACTTTTTGGATAAATATGCCCCTGCGTTGGTCATCCTGAAATGAAATATGCCAAGAATTCACGTGATTATACAATTTTGCCCAAGGAGATCATACTGTCAAATCATTGTAAACTAATCTAATACAGCCAAACAAGGTACACTAGGTGCAGGGGGGTAACCCCTAATGAAAATGGATAATAAATTGGAAAGTAGTGTACCTATAGACTGGGAGAAAGTAGCATGTGCCTATACTTCATAATAGAAAGTTGAAGATAAAGGGCACAAATAAAAAGACCAGAAGGTCAAAAAACAAAAAAAGAATTTATTAAGTATAAATAGCAACAAAAAGATTTAAATAGCAACAATGGATACAACGAAAAGAATATTGTGACACTAAAAGCAGAAGAAGATACAATGTAATAAGCTAGAATCCATTCTGATGTCTTGAATGATACAAACGTGATCAGCTACAGCACACGTCTGTGCTGTTTGGAAAAGACATATAAATGCTAATGGTGTACTAATAGGAGAATAGTGGAATATAATGTATGGTAGGACTACAATAAGACATATATAGAAATAGAGCCTGCAAATGTAAACCGCTTATATATCGTGTCCACTAACAAAGATATTTGTGTGTGAATATATATATATATATATATATAAACAAAGCAAAAAATGAGAGCACTCCATGGATTTGGTAAATCAAATTACTGTATTCAAATAGCACAAAAAAAATCGACGTTTCGACCGTCTAGCGGTCTTTATCAAGATGCTGTCATATACAAAAGCCTGATTTCTGTAATTGATGCCTGTTCTTATTGTTTAGGTTTGTGATTTGGCAACACACATGGCTTTCCCAGCTAGGGTTCCCAATTTAATAAGGAGTTAGGTAGTATTTGAGTTAGCTCTATTAGGCTACACAGGTCCACAGTTACCAATACACCAGTCTTTCTAACTGAGTCCCTATATGAGCAATCGTTTCTAGCCATTCCTGGCTCACTCTAGTATCCTACGATCAGTTAGGCAGTTGCTTAGACATTTATGAAAACACATATGCAACATATAATTTTATTTATCCTCCGTATTGATTTTAAATCTCTGCCGACATTTGGTTTTTAAACAGCTTTGCCGTCTCTAGGCAACACATGGTGATTTCACCACACGTCACTTTACGGCAATTAACATAACGATCCACAATTTGCGGCTTCACTCATATGGCAGATTGGACACACAGGGAGCACTTGGTGATTGGGTAAGTTTAACAAGCGTTTATGTATATATTTGAGGGTTTTGTATATGACAGCATCTTGATAAAGACCGCTAGACGGTCGAAACGTCGATTTTTTTTTTGTGCTATTTGAATACAGTAATTTGATTTACCAAATCCATGGAGTGCTCTCATTTTTTGCTTTGTTTATAGTATTTTGCACAGAGAAGCACCTGGTATGTATTATTATTTGGGAAGAGTGCCAGAAATTGTATAGTTTCTATATATATATATATATATAATAGTGGTGGAATCAGATACATACAAAGGTATATTGCTGGTAAATCTCTATAGAGGATTAGAATATAATAGTGAAATCCACATATATGTAATATGTACTATCGGCAATCTTTATGATGTTTGATAGTAGAAAAAGTAGTAATGATAGGATCAAATATAAACAAGAATGTCGATAGATCTATATCATTAAAGGACCACTATAGTGCCAGGAAAACATACTCGTTTTCCTGGCGCTATAGTGCCCTGAGGGTGCCCCCACCCTCAGGGACCCCCTCCCGCCCGGCTCTGGAAGGGGGAAAGGGTTAAAAACTTACCTTTTTCCAGCGCTGGGCGGGGAGCTCTCCTCCTCCTGGGCTGAGCTGCGCGCGCATTCAGCCCGTCGCATAGGAAAGCATTTACAATGCTTTCCTATGGACGATGCGTGCTCTCACTGTGAAAATCACAGTGAGAAGCACGCAAGCGCCTCTAGTGGCTGTCAATGAGACACCACTAGAGGATTAGGGGGAAGGCTTAACCCATTCATAAACATAGCAGTTTCTCTGAAACTGCTATGTTTATAAAAAAAAATGGGTTAACCCTAGCTGGACCTGGCACCCAGACCACTTCATTAAGCTGAAGTGGTCTGGGTGCCTAGAGTGGTCCTTTAAAGATGAAGACTCTGGAGAGCGTGCTAAATTCCTGATAGCAATGATAACTAAAGGTATATTCCTAAGGGTTCTGTTTGATCAAAGCAAGTTAGGTAATCGACTGAAGTAACTGATCAATACATGTTGGGTAATTGACTAAAATAGCTGGATAAATAAATGTAAACTAATCGACTCGAATGACTGATCAATAGGTATTAGGTAATCGACTGCAATGACTGATTGGCAATTGATCAATGAAAATAAACGGAATGAATATATAAGTAGAACTGGTGAATAAATAATTACTAAAGAGAAAGAAGATAAGCACTGTATAATAATATGCTAATGCTGAAAAAGAGAGAAAAGCACGCTATAAATCTGCAACTATTCCTACAGAAGTGATGGTAACCGATGGCTGTCCTAGGCTGTCTGAAAATAAACAGAGACAGGTAAAAAGTGGACTAACACTATTGCGATCAATCCACCCCCCGTGCCTTCGAGGGCACCTATGTCTAACCCAGCTGAAAAATAAACTAATTCACAAAAAGACTATCAGAGTTAATAACCTAATATGATAAAAAGAAGGCATGTATAAAGCCCTAAAACCCCTCTATTTGACAGCAATAGTGTTAGTCCACTTTTTACCTGTCTCTGTTTATTTTCAGACAGATCCTCCAGACAGCAACCTGTATGCCTCACCAGACTCCAAGTACAGCCAGCGTGTCCGTCCCGAACGGGACAAGAAAGAACAGCGACAGTCCTGGGGTAAGTCCAGGGTTTTAAAGGGGAAGTAGGAGGGACTATTAAATATTTTTACTTATTTACAGTCGGCTTGTCCATCAAGAGGAAACAAACACACTGGTACTGCAACTATATACCTTGATAAAGTGACTTAACTCCTAAATGCCAGAGAATTGAGCAGTGGAACTGCAGGGGTATGATTTATACAACAAAATGGCTTTATTAAACTAAAGCAGTGTTTGTACTTAGATCATCCCTTTAATGAAGAGATACACTAGTCACCCTAAATTACATGTATACATTAGACTAGAAAAGCAATGCATGTGGTAATGATGATGCACAGTTAGAGTTATAAGCCAAGTCTATTTTCATACAGGCTATAGAATACGTGGGAGGAAATACTGTAATTTAAGGTGAATGAAAAGTGATGATATAACTGCGTGTTACAAAATGAATCCATCCATGTTTATTAAAGACAAGTGTATGAGGGGTAAGAGGATGGATCAGCTACACAAAACCATTTTATTAGTATTAAAATAGATTAGAATGATTTGGGGTTCAATGGATCCTGAATCCATATATACAAATTTATTTGGAACAAAAAAAAATACCCCTTAAATTTCATCTATTCTTTAAGTTCGATAATTCATATATGTTTTATCACACGGGAAGGAAAATAAACAATTACCAAATCAGTGTTCTGTACACCCATATAATCCATGTAGTCAAGAGGAAGCCCTTTACGAAACTCTACATCCTCCTCTGCAGCAACTTTTAGGGCCGCTGGCAAGACCTGGAGGGGAAGACAGTGTATGTTAGTAACAATCATAAGTTTATAAGGTGGAATTAACGTGTTCCATATAAAACCAGAGGCATAACTTAGAACAAGTCACCTCTACAACAATGCATTGATAAATTCAGGCAAAACAAAAATCATGATGTAAAACATATTAGGAATGTTAAAGGGACAGTCTTAGCACCACAATCGATTCATCTCAATGAGGTGAATTGTGGGACACAGCAGCCCTGTTGCTGTAAACAATGCTGTTTCCTCAATATTGCACTTCTACATGGTTGTTCATTAAAGTGAGAATGCAAGGTGAATTCAAAATAGATGAACCAGGAGCATACTTTTCCAGTTTGGCTATATTCACCCTAATTTCTCACGTTTGATAATAACTCTGTTACAATTTGCAATTCCCACACCCCTTGTGGTCATTAGACAGACAACCCCTAGGGGCCTTAGAATAAAAATCAGACAGCAGACCCAACGCCTGCCTTTCTGGGCTCTGAGCCCCCAGAGGTTCTTTCTCGAACCACTGCCCTAAAGCTTGGGCAGAACATCACATCCAGGACCCCCATTGTTGGCCCCAAATGGTGCAGGAACCAAAGGGAACAGGTTGAAGGCTCATGTTGTGCCTGGGGCTGGCACCCACCAGACTCACCTTCATGTTGGGATTCTGATATTAACGTACACAAGCAGGAGGGGGGAAAATGGGCTGAGCCCAGACAGACTTACCTGCAGTGCCATCACCACCAGTCTCCTGGAGCCATGCCCGAAGGCTACACAGCATCCCGTGCGGGAATCCAGTGGCTTCTACTCGGTTTTACTATGCTTGTGTTTACCTGCTTTCATATATTTTATTTTTTGTACATCTCTTGTTACTCGACTCTCTTCTCCTCAATCTTTAAGACTCCCTCTCAGTGTATATGCCTATACCAGCTACTAGTATTGTGTTTTTAAGCCTAGCACTGTGGTGATTTGTTTCTTATACTACTCTCAGCTACCGGTCATCTTGATCTTTAGCATGTACTTAGTTTTGAATAGACACAGTGTACCTAGCATGTTCCTTACTTAAATATGAGGCAGACATATTATGGAGTTTACACCACTCATGGACAGCTGTTTTGTTGTTAATGCAACTCATCAGCATGAGGTTGGTTACTGACTTGCTATGGAGGCTTGGCCTTACTTGTAAAGTACATACCTTGTGGTGGGGAAAAAAAGTGTGGATGAAAATCCCTTCCACCTAATGTGAGTGAATAGTTAATACATTGCTAAACACAAATACACACACCAGTCAAGACTTGCTTTTTCCACATAAATCTCACTTTAACCCCTTAAAACCGGAGGACGTACAATTACGCCCTATTATAGGTGGCTCTAAACGCCGCCGGGCGTAATTGTACGCCCTCCGGTTTTTGTTAACTTACCCGGTCGCCGGCGGTCCCACGCCGGCGATCGCGGTGGGGGGGACTCCCAGGGAGCCCCCCCGCGGCAGATCCTTCTCCTCCGGTGCTCCCCGGCCGTGTGAGAGTGGGGTCCTAGCGAGGACCCCACAATCACATGGCCGGGGATAGCTGGCTGCAGCATTGCCAGCAGGGGGGCTGCCTGTAATGACAGGTGGTCCCCCTGCTGGCTGAAAATAAAATTAAAAAAAGTTAATCAGTGTAAAAAATAAATATATACTTAGATCATATGTATATATTATATATATATGATCTAAGTATATATATACACATATACATACACACACATATACAGTCTAGGTGTATTTTACTATTAATATATATATAATTATATATATATATATTAATATCAAATTACACGTAGACTGATACTGATTAAATATATATATAATTATTGTTATATATATATATTTATATATAATATAAAAAAAATAAAATGTAAATACGTTAAAAAATAAAATAAAAAAAATAATTAAAAATAAATAATTAAAAAATATATAGATGTGTGTTATTTCGTTCTAACTGTTTTGTGAAATTAATATATATATATCAAAATACACGTAGAACAAAATAATATATATATATATCTATATACATATATATATATACGTATATATCACTATATATATATACTTATATATAAATAAAAATATTTTTAAAAAATTATATAGATATATACATATATATACACATACGTATATATATACACATATATTAATTCTACATATATATTTATGTAATATTTTTACATAATTAGGTATCTTAATTAATTACAATTAGCGGGACCTGCCTGACAACCCATGCCGAAAGTAAAAGGAATTTAATTTGCTAGCACTATATTTAACCCTATAACTTTCCGAGACACCATAAAACCTGTACATGGGGGGGGGTACTGTTCTACTCGGGAGACTTCGCTGAACACAAATATTAGTGTTTCAAAACAATAAAATGTATTACAACGATGATATCGCCAGTAAAAGTGAAGTTTTTTGCATTTTTCACGCACAAACAGCATTACACGGACAATATTATTGCTGTGATACTTTTTACTGTTTTGAAACACAAATATTTGTGTTCAGCGAAGTCTCCCAAGTACAACAGTACCCCTCATGTACAGGTTTTATGGTGTTTTCAAAAGTTACAGCGTCAAATATAAGGCTTGTGTTTCATTTTTTTCACATAAAAATTTGCCAGATTGGTTACGTTGCCTTTGAGACCTTATGGTAGCCCAAGAATGAAAATTAACCCTATGATGGCATACCATTTGCAATAGAAGACAACCCAAGGTATTGCAAATGGGGTATGTCCAGTCTTTTTTAGTAGCCACTTAGTCACAAACACTGGCCAAAATTGGCATTTTTGCATTTTTCACACACAAACAAATACTAACGCTAACTTTGGCCAGTGTTTGTGACCAAATGGCTACTAAAAAAGACTGGACATACCACATTTGCAATACCTTGGGTTGTCTACTATTGCAAATGGTATGCCATTGTGGGTGTAAATTTCATTCCTGGGCTACTATACAGTCTCAAAGGCAACGTAACCAATCTGGCAAATTTCAATTTCAAATGTAGCGTGCTATATTTGACCCTGTAACTTCCCAAAATGCCATAAAACCTGTACATAGGGGGTACTGTCTTACACGTGAGACTTTACTGAATATAAATATGTGTATTTTATTGCAGTAAAAGCAAACAGTATTATGACATTGATCGTTAAAATGTCATGTAGAACAAAAAAAACCAAAAAAAAACGTATTTTCTCCCATTTTTTCATATTAAATTATGTTTCATAGCTAAATATTTGATATTAAATGAAAGCCCTGTTTCCCCTGAATAAAATGATATATAATAAGGGTGGGTGCATTTACTATGAAAGAGGTGTATTACGATTGGACAGACATGTAGCGCAAATGCCAGGTTTTGTTTACATTTTGTTTTGTTCACAATGTGTACATTTGGCTCCGTCCTTAAGGGGTTAACAGTGCTCTCACTACTGCAAGGGATTCTGGGTAGGTGTTTGCAAATGAGATCAACAAGCCAGTAACCAACCTCGTGCTGATGAGTTGCATTAACAACGAAACAGCTGTCCATGAGTGGTTCGCTGGCTTTGCTCCTCTTCCTGAGTTGTGTTTCAAAGCTGTTGTATACAGCAGGCACATACTCCAAGGAATCCACGTATAAAGTGGAATTATGTGGCAAAAATGTGGTTCTTTGTTGAGCTCATTTGCATACGCCTACCCAGAATCCCTTGCGGTAGTGAGAGCACTGTTAAAGTGAGATTTCTGTGGAAAAAGCAAGTCTTATGGCTTGACTGATATGTGTATTTGTGTTTAACTTTGTATTAACGATCTATATATACACACATACATATATATACACACACATATATATATATATATACATACATACATACACACACACACACACACACACACATATACACGTTGATACGCTTCTATGCTTATGCAACAGTGCTACTGTAAACATATGTTTTAACTCCTGTATGTCCTGTCAGGAAGTTGTGGAAGGGGGAGCTCTTTATCATTGCCTCAATAAATATTAACAGCAGAAGAAGAGTAAACAGTAAAACAAAAATAAAAAAAAAATAGTACCCTGGGTTGCAATGTAAGTCACAACATGCTCACAAACGGCAGTTATACAGTGCAATTAACAGCGACAGGTGTGCACCAAAACAAATGTCCCATACCAGGAATGATAAAGAGCTCCCACTTACACAACCTCCCGACAGACCTCGGCCAAAGATTAGCAGAGCAGCCCTGGGTGCAGGCAGCAGAGCCACGTTCAATGGTATGTATAACCGTCAAGGAAAAACATTCTTACTTTTTCAAGCAGGTTTATCCAGCTATGTTTCTGATACGAGGAAACCGTTATATGTAGGGAGTGTGCATCAGGAAGGCAATGTCCCTGGTGGATAAAACCTCGCGGGAAATACAAGAGATCTCCAGCTTCAAGGACCGTTTCCAAGATCGGATCCCCAATGTGTTCGTCACTGAAGTTAACTGTTCAAAATAAAAATATAGCAACAGATGTAATGAGATACAAATATAAAAGAAATCATGCTATAACCAGAGCAGTGGGAGACAATGAAGAATATAAACAGATAGAGAATGTGCTATGAATGAATATGGTGAGAGATGAGAGCGACAACATGGAGATAAATTACTTAATATCAAGAACACGGACAATCTTCTTATGTATATATATGGAATTATAAAACCAAGAAAATACCATATTTACGCGAATCTAAGGTGCATTCAAATTTTGAAACCTAAAAGCCAAATTTTTTTTCACGGGTGACTGTCATGCACATTTGTACAAGAAGATACTACTATACAACATATAGGTTGATAAGGGAGGACCGCCCTATGACCTGGACGAAATTCGCATTGCGACAAAGATAAGAGGTATAACTTTCCTGTACACAAAAACCAAGTCTCGCATCTCTCTTGCAGCTATGCGAATGTGAATTTTGCCCAGACGAATTTGCATCGTATGCCCGGCGTATCTAATGCATCATCGAACCTAATGCGCATTCAAACTTTAGAGACTTTATTTTGCCAATACATGTGTGCATTAGATTAGAGTAAATACGGTATTCACGGTGCTTCACCAGGATAAATTATTCACTAGATATCAAACATTAAAGAAAATCAACTTACCACTTGAGATTTGAGGGAGATGTTCTGACTTTTGTCTGAAGGGAAAAAGCAAAACATTTTGATAACTAGATTAGCATATATACATACACACATATAAATAAATCTGTTTTACATAGGACAGTGCTGTAACCTGCACGAAGACACAGAAATTATGCTACAGATTGTTTAATTGTTCCCCTCTAAATTTTAGGTTAAAATATTTTATGTTTTAGATTCCAGTGCTTTAAATATCAGAAAACTATGGTATAAAGATAATGATGGCAGAGGCACTTGTTTTACAGCTTTGTATATTTTGCTCCATAAACCATAGGTTTGCATGCACAAATGCAATGTTATTTAATGGGAACTGATGACTAGGAAGATTTTCAAGGGTCCCTGCACATAGGCTCATAATCCCATGGGCCAGGCACTGGGAGAAATTGCTGGATGCCTCTCCCCTTTGGCTCGGTATTATCATTAAAACAAACATGAAGTTCTTGAGTAGTATGGGTTATTATACAGGGTCCTTCTGGATATTACTATTTTCTTTTAAAAAAATATTTTTTTTATTGAGGTCTACAGCAAGCCTACAACACCGACAGAATATAGCGAGATCCGTACAGGAGCAGGACATGTCGTAATTACACAAAATATCAGCAGCAGTGGTATGAACAGATAAGACATACAAAACATATCATAGTGTCATGTTGGCATATCTAAGATCAATAGACTCTATAACGAATGCACCGTAATCCAATTGTAAATCCCACTCATTCGAAGAGGAAAGCTCATTTTGCATTTTAAAATGTAACAAAATTAGCATTCTATTAAGCGTAAGCTAAGTAAACCCACCAAGCAGACAGAATGCTGGGCTCAGGGTGTATGCTGTGACTGGCACGTATGTACAGCAACAAAAACATAACGAGTGACAATATAGAAAATCGCAATAATCAATTGTGGGGTAGCATATACGGTGTTAATTGTTAGAAAGCCATAGCCTGACAGCCCTGATTATATTAAGTGACCCCACAAAGTCAGCCCATTCAGCATATGCAAATGCCTGAAAAATAAATTATTGTATAGTCCCCAGAGAGGTGTAGGGCATGTTCGGTACCGTCCGTGTCGCCGGTCAGAACCACTCCAGTCCTGGGTGTTAATAGGAACCAGCACACAATGTCCACGGGCCATGCTCCTTATAGCCAGAGTATGGCTCTGAAAGAGTGCTGGTCAGCGAGAGATCTCCCAGGCATGTAAAATTCGTTGGAGTTCCCTGCCCAGGAATGGGGCCCAAAATTGAAGCACCGCTGTTGATTAGCAGTTAGGCAGTGATTGGAGTGGGTTGATTCACGTGGAAGCTATATTTCATGATTGTGCCAAGAGTCGCCAAAAGGAAAGAGTGTGCTTGGTGGGGGACAGGGACAACCCTCACCGATCCATGGAGAGTGGACTTCCTCGGCTGTAGCTTCTGTAGTATATTTAGCTCACAATAAGGTTGCCCAGTGGGCACCAGACTCATGTACATATAAGCTTAAGTCAATATTCAAGGAAAATTTGCCCCTTAGTGGCTTTTATAATGAGATTGCAGAGGAGCACACACTTACTGCAACTATCCAGCATGTCAGTCAAGCTCCGGCCCCCCTTCCCTGCTTAGTTATTTCTAATACTACTTATTGAATTTAGTTCATTTACCATCAAATGCTTCCAGCTTTATTGAATAGGTTATGTTGAGGTCAACTTGCAGGAAGTACTGCACATGGTGAGTGTTCAGATTCACTAACGTATAAACCCGTGTGTAGCAAGACAAAGATGACACTGGAATAGCCACACTGTAGGGACCGGACATTTCTCAGAATGGTAACTGCTGTTTGTGTTTCTGGCAGCAAACAGCCTTGGAAAAAAAAAAAAAAAAAATCTACTTTTGTTTTTTTTCTTCCAATTTTAATAATAGTCAAACTAGTGACATGCCTCAATTTACATGGTATTTGGGAATGGATATTTGTAAATTCATGAAAAATTAAATTCTATAATTGTGCTATGTAGGAAAACAAGAACAACCCACAGTTCCCAGAATTTTGGCAAATCGTAACACTAGATAGAATCCATCGTTTATTTGAACAAATTAAACACTTGCCTGGGCTTGTAGACTCTCCAGTGTTTCTTCCCTTCCAGCTGAACCACAAATGCTTCGATATCGTCATAATGTGGGGCAAATCCCTGTGTACCTGCAGGTGTCAGGTAGCTGCAATTAAAGGAAAAAGATTGTACAAACCAAATGACTCCTTTAATAGGTCAAAAAACATATTACATGGAACTAGTTAAAGGACCACTATTGGCACCCAGACCACTTCAGCTTAATGAAGTGATCTGGGTGCCAGGTCCATCTAGGATTAACCCTTTCTGCTGTAAACATAGCAGAGAAATTGCTACGTTTACAAATAGGTTAATCCAGCCTCTAGTGGCTGTCTCATTGACAGCCGCTAGAGGCGCTTCCCACTGTGATTTTCACAGTTAGAAGACGCAAGCGTCCATAGGAAAGCATTGAGAATGCTTTCCAATGAGACTGGCTGAATGCGTGCGCGGTTCGTGACGCACATGCGTGTTCAGCTGATGACTGGGAGCCCGGCGCTGGAAAAAAGGTAAGGGATTAACCCCTTCCTCACCCTAGAGCCCGGCGGGAGGGGGGCCCAGAGGGTGAGGGGGACCAAAGGACCCTACAGAGCCAGGAAAACGAGTATGTATGGTTTCTGCTGAAACATTTTCAGAAACATTATTGGAGAGTAAAAATTTGTTTTGAAACAGAAGTATAGTTTTCTATTTAATCTATGAATACACAGTTGTGTAGGGATGAAATGTTCTATCTTATATACCAAGTGACAAGAACAAACCCCCAAAGAATACATTCTGAACATTTAAAAGAAGAAGTAAGCATTTTCTTTTTGGGCCATCCAGACTTACGTGTTGCTCCCAACCATGCTTCCAAAGAGCTCTTGCAGGACTGATAAGAAGTTCCACACTGTGTGCGAAAATGCCTGGGGATTTAGCAACCTCAGCGAACACCCATTCTGTAAACAGACAGGAATAAAAAGCAATAATGAGCGCTCTTCTTGCAAACTTAGCATTACCAGAAGGCTCGAAAACTAATAATTTACAGTAACACAGATCTGGACACAGGTACAGAGGACAAAGCTTGGGACTACTCTATTGATAAAAAGAAACTAACTCTGGCTAGATGGGTGAATTCAATTGCAGTTTTTTTTTTTAAAGTACATACCATATTCTTCCCAAGCTAAGTTAAAAGGTTTAGCAGACTAATTCACTGTAAAAATTGAACAAGAACTTCAAATTTAAGGTTCAAGTGGGTGAACTGAAAGCATAGCTGACAGAGCATTTTTACAGTTCAGCTATTTTGACCTTGAGTAAGTCAATTACTGTCAGAGCGATCATAAGTAGATTAGAAATAACCTATTATTATTACTGGCATTTATAAAGTGCAAACATATTACGCACCGCTATGCAATTGGGGAAAACAAAAACCAATTAAAAAAACAACAACAAAGCCGTACAGTACACACAGACCAACACGAAAGAAGATTAAAAATATTTGAATTTTATAAAAACTATCAAACATGGAGAAAAAGGAGACCAAGATAGGAGACTCTGTCCGAGACTTTAATACAAAACCCAGGCAACACTAATACCCAGATACTATAGGTAAAGGTAGTAGTAAGATATTGGGACACGGTATGAGTTAGATCCACATACTACTGCATGAGACTACCCGGTGCCAGCATTTCAAGTAAGGAAGGAATCAGTTCATGCAAGCAGAAAGGATGCTTATACTTACCCTAAAATAGTCCCACACAACCAGTGGCAGCGCTCGGCCAGGAGGATTATGGGTTTCTCGTTTCCCATCAGTATAACTTGTGACATCCAGGTTAACACCAAACTGCACATTATCCTACATCCAAAACATAAAGGAAAGTATGTTAGATGTTAAGCAAGGCACTCTGACCTCTGTTTTATAGTTCACATAATCTCAAATACTGACCCATCTTTTTAAAAACCTATAAAACATGATTGTATTTAACAAGTATCGCTACTGAGAATGTGTAACGTCTCATTAAACGGAAAGCACGTGTATTGTAACTGCTACTAGCTTTTACAAAGCCTGGCTCATGCTTTTATGAACTGAACTATGTGTAGTGACTACTCAAGCAACATTGCACGTGCACCATACGTACAATTTGGACAAAACTAACAGCAAGAAGTTAAAAAACGTATTTTCTGTGTCAGATGAATAATACACGTTGATGCATTTATAAGTCAAGGAAGAAGGCCATTTATAAGAATGAAGAGCGTTTGCAGGATACTCCCAGTGCCATAAACGTTTCAATTATAAAAAGTTATTTTGATGCTTAGAAGAGCATTTAAGTTAAACTGTGTTGAAAACTCAAGTGTTTATTCAGTAAACACTGAACAATGGAGAACTAAAAACCAGAATATAAACTTTAGGCCAATATAACCAATTTGGAAAAATATTCAAATCCGTTGTAGCTGGGCTATTTTAACGTAAATTTTGTTTTTGAGAACAATCAGAGTAAACAAGGTTTCTAGCAAATCCTCGTACCAATGGTTTTACTGATGAAGTTAAGAGTCAAGTTTCGACCCTGCAGGATGCAATACATGGGTCAAAATAAATACAGCTGCTTAAACTCACATCTCGAAGGATCCGGTCAAATTCCGATGTGGAAAATAATCCACTGTAATAGCTGTTGTTGTGCCGTTTAATAAGAGCAGGTTTTTTTTCCCAAATATCCCTAGAATAAAAATGGAAAATATGAATATGTCTACTATCAGATCAGAAGTATTAAGACAAATACTAGAATAGGGGAATCTTTGAGACTGCTGGGAGGCTGGTAACAATTTACTGAATGTGGAGACCTTGCCAGATTAATGTATAAAATATGGTAAATAGAAACAGGAAGAGATTTTTTTTTTTTTTTTTAAACTCACAGATTTCAATATAAAAATGGCACAGGCTTAACCCTACTATAGTAAGGGAGTATAGACACAAAGACAGAATTTCCACACGATGAAATTAAAAACGTAAACTTTAGCATACCATTCCATCACTCCAAAATACATACACTTCAACTGGTGGCAGGATTCTGCAAGTAAATACAGCAACATCTCTGACACAGGAGTTAGACGTATATAATGGATTGCCTTCTCAGATACCAAAATGTAGGCTTTCAAGTAACCAAGCAGCATTTCCATGAGAAATATTAAAGGACCACTACTCGTTTTCCTGGCACTATGTAGTCCCTAGGTCCCCCCCCCCACTGGGCTGAAGGGGTTAAAATCCCTTCAGCCACTTACATTTCTCTAGCGCCGGTGACCTCTCCTCCCCTTCCGACGTTGGCTCCCAAGTGGAGCCGAATGCGCGCATTAAAAATGCCCATAGGAAAGCATTACTCAATGCTTTCCTATGGACGTCAGTGTCTTCTCACTGATTTTCACAGTGAGAAGAATCGCGGAAGCGGCCTCTAGTGGCTGTAAGCGAGACAGCCACTAGAGTCTGGATTAACCCTACAGGAAACTGCTATGTTTTAAGCTGCAGGGTTAAAACTAGTGGGTCCCGGCACCCAGACTACTACAATGAGCTGAAGTGGTCTCTGCCTATAGTAGTCCTTTACACTTTTGATGCCATTCTAGCCATGGTTTCCGTTGAGTCAGGTTGCAGTGAGTGTAAACGCAACTGAACCAGTGGGACAACTACATCGGATGGGTGTCTATACAGGTACATAGCTAGGCGATAATATTCACTATGGTGCAATCACTATGGAAACCAGCAGACACATTCTAATGGTGACTCCACTCCCTTTATTATTTATCTGCACCACTTTTTTGAACGGAACACTTTGATCTAGCTCCCCTGCTGTACTTGGAATTCAAAATGTAGCTATCTGCTGGTTCGTGTGTTTTCAGCTTTACAATTGACTTAGTTGCAAATAAATTATTATTGTTATTTATATAGCACCAACATATTCGAAAGCACTTTACAATTAGAGAGGTAAAGAAGGTCATAAATATGAAGAAGCTTTTATTTTGGTATACAGGGTTAAGTGTCTAAAGAATGATAAACAACAGATAAAGGTTCTAATTACCCATTTTTGCAATAAGGTATTTTCGAACAATGAAAATATCAAAATTATTTACCAGTAAAAAAAATAAATATTGGGGTTCACTTGATGTGAGTCCATTCTAAGAGACTGCAGGTAAAATGGCAATGAATAGCATACCTGAAAAAGTCTGCAGGTTTAATGGGAGATAACAGCCACTCGAAGAGAGTCACTGCTCTGTCTCTGCTGTTCTGAATCTTGCCGAGATCTTGTAACACACTGAGAAGTGGAGGTCCAACATGCTGTTTGCTGCTGCTCTCAACATCCTGTAGCAAAATATAAATATTAACATCTGATCTCCCCTACAAGTTACATATACATCTCAAAGAATATATTAAAACTTCAGCAGTTTTGAATTCCAGTCCTTACGACCTTAGCAAAAAATAAAAGATGTTGGACTTACCTGACAATAGAATCTTAAAAGCATAAAATCAAACTAATAATACATAATTCATAGTTGCAGTTAAGGGATTTTGGGCCATGTATGAGAACTAGTAGATAATCCTGCATACCATACAGGAATATTTTAATTAGAAAGCAATCACAACATTGAATTATGGATCATGAAAATATATGCAAAGGCCAGTTTAACAAATAAAATGTATTGTCCTAGTAACGCATGCAAAACGCACCACCGAGTGCTATCTGCCACTAGACAAGTCTTTGAAAGGCACTCCAAAAACCATATCCACTATGCAAGTGATGGTGCATTGAGTCTTTGGCTGCCGTTAACAGATTTTTGTCAAATTTTTTTTTAAACTATTTGACAAAAACTGTGACTCCTGCCAGAACCCAAGGCCTGGTCTGTCTTTAACTGCTTGGAAAATGTGAACGTTACAGTTTCATGTGATCTATTCAAAGCCATCCAACTTTTGACGGAAGAAAGGGCTGTGAGCACTGGGCTAAGCAGCTTTCCACTGCTGTCCAAGATTGGATGTTTTGGACAGATAAACCAGAAATGATATTCTGTATCTGTAATGTCTGAGTGGCTGCAGAGAAGCTGGGCTTTGGATCCCAGGGTAAACCTAGTTCTCCCCTCACCCTCCAAACCACTCAAAAATGGTTTTGATAGAAACCAGGGATGACACATAAGGTATCGTTGCTCTTTAACCACTACAATGTGTTGCAGTGGTTATGGTGCACAAGGTTACCTTTAATAAAGGTTGGTTTGGCAAATGTTTGGTCACTTTGCGGTGAGACAGAAGAAAAGGTTTAAATTAGTTTAAAAAACTAGGCTATTGCGATTAGTTTACGATGTGAGAAATAGCCAATAATTTAAATATCAGGGACACTATAGTCACATAAAACAACTTTAGCTTAATGAAGCAGTTTTGGTGTATAGAACATGCCCTGCAGTCTCACTGCTCAATTATCTACCATTTAGGAGTTAAATCACTGTTTATGAACCCTAGTCACACCTCCCTGCATGTGACTTGCACAGCCTTCCTAAACACTTCCTGTAGAGAGTCATCTAAAGTTTATCCTTTTTCTTTATTGCAAGTTCTGTTTAATTTAGATTTTCTTATCCCCTGCTATGTTAATAACTTGCTAGACCCTGCAAGAGCCTCCTATATGTGATTAAAGTTCAATTTACAGAGCAAGAGATAAAAATTTTACATTAAATCTGACTAAAAGTGAAACCAGTTTTTTTTTCATGCAGACTGTGCCAATCAGAGCCAGGGGAGGTGTGGCAAGGGCTTCATAAAAAGAAACCGTGATTTAACTCCTAAATGGCAGTGAATTAAGCAGTAAAACCTGAGAGGCATGATCTATACACTAAAACTGCTTAATTAATATAAAAGTTGTTTAGGTGACTATAGTGTTCCTTTAACCCCTTAAGGACCAAACTTCTGGAATAAAAGGGAATCATGACAGGTCACGTGTCCTTAATGTGTTAAAGGAACTTTTGTGTTTCAACATTAAGAACACAAAAGCGTATTCCTAACACTATCATGCCAATTTGCCCCCCTCCCCGCGCTGGTTTAACACTCTGCCTCCTCCGACATCACAAGATGGGTATTAGGTCCTACTCATAGCGAAACATTGCTTCTATGCTTTCCTGTGGGGATTTAACGGACGCTGGATGAGGATGTACAGTATCAGGCAACCAAACGTCGCCTAGCAAGCAGTAGGTGTCTCTAGTGGCTGTCTGAATGACATTAACTAAATGCAGTCTTAGTTATGCAATGTAATCATTGCCGTTTCTCTAAAACTGCACTGATTTACATTCCAGGACTAAGGGGGACAGGGACAATGAGAAGAAGTGGTCTGGGTGCCTATAGTATCCCTTTAAAGCACTCTTTTTAAAATTGGAAAAAGCCACTACTAACACCATTGGCGGATCCGGGGCAACAGGGCAATTGCCCCCCCCCGAGATTCCCCCCTGCCGGCTAACGCAGGGCTGGCATTGCCCAAGTGCCAGCCCTGCAATGTGCCTGCGGACCGGGGGGGGGAAGATGAGAGATCTCCCTCCCCGGTCCGCAGGCACCGTGCTGACAGCCGGCAGGGGAGGGAAACGGAGGAGAGAGGACCCAGGAGCTCAGCCTGCAGCTCCTCCGGGTCCTCCTCTCTCGAGATTTGGAGCGTTGCCGCGGTTACCACGGCAACGCTCCAAATCTCACGAGAGTGAACTCTAGCCCGGGAGCGCGGGCTAGAGTTCACTCTGACCACCTGACCACCAATGAATCCCCACCGGACCACCAGGCACCAAGAAATGTCCCCCCTACCCCCCAGTAGAGGTAAGAAGGGAGGGGGGACATAGAATATTTATTTTATTAAATAAAAAAAAAAAATATTATTAAAAAGCCTCCTTCCCTCACCCCATACACACAGTGCCCCCCATTACACACACACTGCCCCCTCGCACACACACACACACTGCCCCCCATACACACACACTGCCCCCCATACACACACACTGCCCCACAAACACTGTCCCCCATACACACACTGCCCCAAAAACACATACAGTGCCCCCATACATACACTGCAACCCTAACATACACTGCCGCACTCACACACTTCACCCTTAACACACACCACTGCTCCTATACCCTATATCCCAGCAGACCCCAGGTAAGTTGTCAAACTGTTCTTAAACGGTATGACTACTTACTCTGGGGTGGAATCCTGGAACTACTGACACCATAACTACTACACTGAGCTGTAGTGGTTATTGTGCCTGGATTATTTATTTAAATAATCTACAAGTGCCCCTCCCGAGATCAGGCTCTGGATCCGCCACTGACTAACACCAGGCAACTTTTATTCCAGAATTCAAAGTAAAATATATAAATAAATGTATATTACCGTGGTCACTGAAGTATTCAGTATTTTGTTTTTTGCAGGTGTATTAAGCTTTTTAACTTTTTTGTTAGAATGTTTTCCTTTCTTTGAATTGACACAATACACCTCTCCATTCGCTTCTTCAATCTCGTTTACATTTTCGAGGGCAGGTAAGCTGCTCGCATTGGTTTCAGGTCCAGATGACAAAAATTTCCTTTTCTTCTTCAACAGTTTGTGTTTCTGCGATGGCTTTGAAATTGCATGTTTGCTCTTCTTCACAACACCTTCCTGAAAGACACAATAACAGTTACACTTACTTCAGACTGTACGCTTCTATCAGCAGGAATTCCTTTAGATTGTCTTTTTTTGTGCACATTACTATTGTACAGTGCTTCAGTTTACATTAGCTCAATATAATAATAGGGAGAATACTAAAATAAAATTTTTAAAAAGTGAGTTTTGTATAAAAATTGACAAAGATTTTGTGCTTTGTAGATCCTGATTGGATAAAACACAATTGGTCAGTTTTTGAAAACACATTCCCACGATCTGCGGCACCACTTAATTCCTGATAAATCTACGTATATTATATTTATTCAGCGTTAGCATATGTTCTTTGCATGCTGTGTTATTGCATAGGGACAGCACAGTACATAATGCTGTCATTAAAAAAAAAAAAAAAAAAACCCTTCTAAAACAATTACAATACATATATACATAATAGGTGATAAGCTCCTTGCTCCACAGATCCTCTAAGTATTGAGGAAGTGATACCAAACATTATAGTATATAATAATATTGTGGAGCTTCTAAAGTCAGGGGAGCAGTGTTTGCAATATTAGTCAATGTTGTACAGAACAGAGTGTAATCAGACAGTAAGGTTACACAGACAGAGCTGCAGAGAAGGCAGTAGATATACAATGTAGCATACAATGCTGCTATCTCAGGTATATGGTATTCTGATCCTGGAACCCAGTAAACTCACACTGTATATAGTAATCCACATACAGCTAAATAGCCATTTTAATACAGACTCTTCTAACTAACCTGCCTCTGGAACTCCTTATGAAAAACAGCAAAGGCTGAAACACGTGGACCCTCCATGAGCACAGCTCACTGGCTTCTTTTGGACTAAGGGAAAACGCACGCACAGCAGCGGCGCTGGCTGCCAGGAGTACGCGCCGTGACGTCATTACGGAGCGGCCATCCCAACTTGCCAAAAGAAGGTTACAGCTCCCCCAAGCGACCACTAACGACGTGGCAGGCAAGTATTAGTTACGTGTCGTATGGCTTCTGTCACATTATTGATCTATTTTTTTTTTTTTTTTTGATTTTTTTTGTTAACTTGAAGTCATGTGTTTTAGTCCCCAGGTATCCATTTCAATTGAACGGTGAGCTATTGGAAAAATAGTGAAAAACCTTTTTGTTTTTTAAAACCAAGAAGGTTTTTCCAATGATCTGCTGGCTGCATTCAGAATAGACATTGTACAGGTTGAACATGACAGTGTTTGTATATTACAGTCTCCATGCTTGTTCATTAACTCTGCCAGTGCCAGAAAATAGCTTAAAGTGCCACTGTCACCGTCACGGGAACTTGCAAAGACCTCCAAAGGTGACATTGCTGCTGGGGTTCTGCTTTCCTATGGGGGAATTCCTAATGCTCACCACGCATGCGCATTAGGTCCCCCTTGCCGACGTCAGAACGAAACATTGTTTTCCTGGCACTATAGTTTCCCTTTTTGTTGTTGTCAATCTTTGTTTTATTGAGGTATGGATAAAGACGTTATAAGCATGAGAATAGATAATATAAGACAAGTATAGGCAACCTTCGGCACTCCAGATGTTTTGGACTACACCTCCCATAATGCTTTGCCAGCATTGTGGGCGTAAGAGCGTTATGGGGGATGTAGTCCACAACATCTGGAGTGACGAAGGTTGCCTACCCCTTATATAAGATGTACAGATATTGTAGCTGTGTAGTCGTTTGATAATACCTTTTTTTAACCTTTTTTTTTATAGGAACAAGCAAAAACAAGCTAGACCAACATGTCTATATATAGTTGTGATATCATACTAACAAACGTATAAGACTGACTAGACACTTAGATGTTAACTAAATACTGATTATACACATGTTTTGAAGGAAGCATGTTAAGGGCTTATTGCAGAGATAAACAAACCCATCTGAGGTAACATGCTAGCTAGTATGGGAAGGAGTGAACAACTGGGACCAAACACATCGTTATACTGCTGCACCACAGTAAGAGAAATCATAGTACAACATTATTAGCTGGGGGACTTTGAGGTGAGAGGCCCATAGCAGACAAGAGTCACCATCAGCCAATGCCTAGGGCTGGGAGGCAATGGGCACCTGCTGTAAGGCAACACAGAGGCCTCTTGTTTAATAATCAACAGGACTGGACCCTGGGGCCATTGCCTGGCTTCTTTGCAGCTTGTTGTGTAGTGGTCATCTGAGTAGACGAGTGGTGTGGTTGGGGATGTCCTATGTGGAGCTGTTGTTTAGTAGGGGAGCAGTTCACAAGCTCAAGCCATCGACTTCCCCCTCATCAGCTCTCTCCCAGAGGGACTAAGCGTAGTTTTGCCTCGTAGTGGATCAGACTTGAGTGTGGCTGCAGTGATTGACTTTGGTGGTCGTCATTGGAGTCGGCCAGGTTAGGTACATGTGTATGAGCGTCAGGCTATGCGAGACCAGAAATCTTGGCACAGCTTGTAAAATTTGGCCTCAAAGAATTGCATTCAATTAAGGCTCCTTTGAGATGGCTTTAGTGTAGTGGCCAATTTGGATTTGTCACACGGTCGCGGTGGCGGTGTATATTAATATTGCCACTGTAGCTTTAGGTGTGGATATCCCCCACCGGTCCAGAGGCAATGGGGTGGCAGTTGACCCGCTTCAGGAAATGGGCCAGCGACTCCAGGTAGGCCGCAAGGCCAGACATAATAAAAGTCCTGTTAAAACTGTAAGTTTGGGACCTGCAGTTATGCAGTTTTAGCATAGATAAAGCTTGTTCCAGCGAGAGCTCCTAAAAAGCATATCTGGCCAGCTTGAGCGTTAGGCCACACACCCCTATTGTTTCCCTTTAAATAAATTAAAAAAATAACATATATTGGATCCATATAAATTGTTTTGTGCACATGTCATGCAAATAAAATATTTTGATACTCTGTTGATAATTAAATTGTGCTAGCCAAATTGCTAGCATATACAAATGTTCTAATTTTAGATGAAGATCGTAACTTAAACCTCATCACTCACCAGTGCCCTTGATTCAACATGGCAGTCCTGATTTGGGACCACTGCTTCTCTATAGTGACTCTCTGAGCATGTTCACAAAACAAAAATCAGGGAAAATCTCTCTTGAGAAATCCCTCTTACGTAAAAAAAAAAGATAGTTGGTTAAAAAATGTAACTAACAAAATATGACCATAGATGAGAAAGAGGATAGCTATATGTAACGGCACCCCCAAGCATAAAAGGGTTAGACCGCCGTTTAGTAGATCTTCCCTTCCAGAGACACAGGCACAGCTACTGCAGAACACCAGACTCTCGAACTGAATACAAGGGAATGCTCCAAACTCCCAAACTGCATACAAGGGAATCCTTCAAACTTCCGAACTACATACAAGGGAATGCTCCAAACTCCCGAACTACATACAAGGGGATGCTTCAAACTCCCGAACTGCATACAAAGTAGCACTCCAAACTCCCGAACTGGAACCTCACGAATAGCTGCTAGCAGATGAACAGGAAAAGCACCGAAGCGGCTTACATTCCTGGCAATCGGTCTCTAACAGCATACAGTAAATCCCCCCAAAGACGAGACAGAGCTCCGTGTTGGGGATCAAGCAGTGGTCTGGTTTATTGAGGGCTACCTGCCCAGTATTTATGCAGGTCTCCCACCTGGTGGACACTCCCCTAGGGGACCAAATGGGAGACTGTGACAAAGGACAGACATGAACCAATGACAGACACACAGAGGTAAATCATCCCCACAATGCATCCTAATTTCCCTCCCTCTGTCCTGGAGATAATTGGGTAATCCAATTATCTCCCAGGACAGAGGCAAAACTCCATTAACCACATGGCAGTAAAAGACATAAAAATGTATAAAGTTACAACTGTTGCACAAAACATATACATTCTACCTATCCCCAGATAGCTTAGATCTGAGCGCACATTATTACCGGATGGCGCTCAGATCACATACATACAGTTCAATCACCATGGAGCCAAAGTCTTTCCCATAGCCTTTCGTTACACAAATAGGCTCCATGGCATGGCTATCTGGGGTAATGCTGTTCATATGGTTAAACTACCGAATGAACAGGCATCTGGTTAAATGACCGAATGCAGACGCAAGGAGGCTGACGGCTCAGCGGTGTTCGCGCAAATAAGTGTCCGTTTCCAGTGCCATAGTTTGGGCGCTGAACACCGCTGGCCGTTTGGGACTTTAAAATGGCCGCCGCCACGTGTTTGGCAAACGAACAAAGGCCACCCAGCATTCGTCAATTAAGCTGCGGTTAACCGCAGCTTCTGGGAGGTAAATTGCCGACACACTCCCAATACAGGTGGTCCAGTCATTCGGTTGTTTGTTCGGTAGATTGAATCTACCGAACGCTGGGCAGAAAGGCACGAACAAGCCTTTTCTGCAGGGGAAAAGAAGGCTTTTTAACATGCTTCGTGGTGAGGTTGGTTTCGCCACACTATATATTCAATAGAAATTGGTAATAGGTATGTTTGTGATGGGCAAAACCAACCAGCTTTATTGATTTCACAAAAATGTATTACCCATTCGTAAAAGCATAGAAAAATCTATTGCTTATTATCCTAGTGATATATTAAAGCATATAGTCTCTCAAGTTACGAATGTCTATATAACGTGGGTCTGTTTACTGAAAAGTGCCCCTTATAATATAGTCCCAGTTGGACCTTAAAGGAGCACTATAGGGTCAGGAACACAAACATGTATTCCTGACCCTATAGGGTTAAAACCACCATCTACCCACCTTGGCCCCCTTTAACTCCCTAAAGATAGTAAAATCTTACCTGTATTCAAGTCTAAAGCTGCTGCCTCTGCCTGTGAACGTCCTCTGACATCATCAGTAGTGGTGGCCTGATCCAATCACAGTGCTTCTCCATAGGATTGGCTGAGACTGACAAGGAGGCAGATCAGGGGCAGAGCCAGCACAATTCTAACACAGCCCTGGCCAATCAGCATCTTCTCACAGAGATGAATTGAATCAATGAATCTCTATGAGGAAAGTTCAGTGTCTGCATGCAGAGGGAGGAGATACTGAATGTTTGGATGCATTTTAGGCAGCAATGACCCAGGAAGGATCTCTAACAGCTATCTGAGGAGTGACCAGTGAAGTTATCACTAGGCTGTAATGTAAACACTGCATTTTCTCTGAAAAGACAGTGTTTACAGCAAAAAAACTGAAGGTAATGATTCTACTCACCAGAACAAATGCAATAAGCTGTAGTTGTTCTGGTGACTATAGTGTCCCTTTAAAGAGGTGGGTTTATGTCGACAGACATTAAATGAGAAAGACAAATAAGGGAGAGACTCGCTAAGATGTAAAAGGGTTATGAGAAAACAAGATTAACATGGAGGAGTATAACGCACATAATTATAAGACATATATCTTAACACAGGTCAATGAAGCGTTAGTACAGGGCAATATCTACTGTGTAAATATATCATAAATTCACCCTAAGAAGAGTAGAGAAGGATCGTGTATAGTGAAAGGTCTTAACCTCTCAATATAAAATGATGCAGCATAATACCGTGGTACAAATACCCTGCGAGCTATTAAAGGACCACTATAGTGCCAGGAAAACATACTCGTTTTCCTTGCACTATAGTGCCCTGAGGGTGCCCCCACCCTCAGGGACCCCCTCCCGCCCGGCTCTGGAAGGGGGAAAGGGGTAAAAACGTGCCTTTTTCAGCGCTGGGCGGAGAGCTCTCCTCCTTCTCTCCTCCTCCGTTCCGCCCGCCCGGCTGAATGCTTGTGGCAAGGCTTCTTGTGGCATTCAGCGGTCTCTAAAGCATTTACAATGCTTTCCTATGGTGACAAGATACTCTCACTGTGAAAATCACAGTGAGAAACGCATAGCGCCTAGTGGCTGTCAATGAGAGACAGCCACTAGAGG